TACAAGCATTCAAACCACGAGGAGTGGGTATGCCAGATCTTGAGCCGGATTGGGATGAGTGATGGACTCCAGTCTGCACGCTCCGCACAGATAAAAACAATTGGAGCCTGCTGCCGGAACGGGTCCCATCCGGAACGAAGAGCTGGGTCCCATCCGTCAAGGCTCTAAACACCAGATGCGCGCGGCCCCCAAATGAAGTGGTTCATGTGTTATTCCTCCATTTTCACCCTTCCCGTAAAAAGCGGGTATGAAAGAGTCTAAGTTGTCAGACTGGTTTTCAGGCGGATGTCACATGGATGTTCATAGCTGCCACGGCGCCCGTGCCTCATGCTTTTTCACATTGTTCCTGTCATGTCCTGAGTCGTTTCCCCTTCTCAATGTCTTCTTTCTTGAGGGCAGGATCCGGGCTTGCAACCTGCTCATCGCAGATTTGGGGAGACCCATCGTGATATTTAAAGCCCACCAACATTGCACTTCGTCAACGTGGGTGAGTCCACCATAGATTATCGTAGGTCGTTGTAGGGAATGGGAGGACTGGCGCCCCTGGGCCCCTGATGATGGACTTGAAACGGTGTTGTGAGAAGAGATGAAAACGGAGATTCCAACCAGCGGCCCACACACAAGGCATTAGGCCTCATTGTTCATGCTTTCTCCAGCAGCTAGTTTGCTTTGAGTTGCTATGCCCTCAACGCAACTTCATTTGATGTGTGTGTGTGTGTCAAGACTTGGGGATGTTCCAAAAGCATCTAAAAGCAGCCAACTCCATTCCTGTACCTGGATGTATTGGGACTGATCAGGCTCTGGTGATCACAACGAGGAGAACTTTCAGACAGGCTGCCGGATGAACTTACGGCAGAGCTGTGAGACAGAGCTAGGAGCTGATGTGTCATCCTGCCGGATGCTGTGAAACAAAGAAGTTTTTGCTACAGAAAAGCATCTTTCTTTTGGTGTCCGGCTGTTTTGGAATGATTCCCCACCTGCCAGTGGCCTTGTTGAGGTGAAGATGCTATGGTGATATAGAGGACTTCCCTTAAGAAAGCAGACCTTCGCAAAGACCCTGCCTCGCTTGCGCAGCCAAGGATGTCAATCATTCCGTGGTGCGCACCTGTTTTTGGAATGCCCCCCACCCGTTCTGACGAAGTTTGGACATCTAGCTAACAGAGACTCCTGACGGGACCCCGAGGCATTCTCATTGCTAACGTGACACTCTACCCGGTATTTGGTGCTGGACTAACCGCCACGTAGGCTCCGAGACCCTCGTCACTATGGGGTGTCTCTGGCGATCACCGGATAGGTCGCATGTTGGCTGGGAGTGACTCCGGGGGTCCAATGACGTGAGGCGGCTTGCGCGGATACTTGTGCGACGTTCTCTGCAAAATGGATGCTGAGGTTCTTATATACGTCAGTCTTTTCCTTTTGCCCTGGTCCATGCGTGCGTGATTGCCACAGCCGCTGCGATCCCAGAGAAAATGGGCACGGACACTGGCAGCCACTCCGAAGCGCACCCGCTGACCGCCAATCCAACGCGTAACCACCGAGCCACTGGCAGCCATTCGAGCACGAGCAGCCACTCGAGCGCGCAGCCACTTGCAGCCACTTAAGTGCACAGCCACTTGCAGCCAATTGAGCAGCCACTTGTAGCCACTTGAGCAGCCACTTGAGCAGCCACTTGCGCAGCCACTTGCGCAGCCACTTGAGCAGCCACTTGA